CATTTTTCTGTGTGTAGCTATTTAAACTCGGGCCTCATACCAATACCACATATGAATATCTCCAAGCAGACAGATAAAGGAGGTGGATCACAGAGCTAAGTACTATTGAAGCCATCAAATCCAAAACTCAGCCTATTTCTTTTTATCTACTACAGTTGACATTTCTCCCATAGTACTCCCAAGAAATTGCTCTACCTGGCCTCTGTCTAGGAGACCCATAATGACATCCAGCTGTTCCAAAGGCAGAATGATGTTTGTGATTCCAACATGGATGGATCAATACTGAGTTCTCAAGCCTGTTCAGACAGTAGTTGTTAGCCAATCAATCATCCATGCAGACAGACACATATATCTCTTGTCTGTGTAACTACACTAAAATGTCTAGAAACATAAGTTAGCAAACACTAAGGCAACACAAAGCATTATTTTTAGATACCATCACCTTCAGCCAAAATCTGAATTGTTTGGAAAGATTCACAGGCTATCTAACTGAAAAGAGGGACGGAATACGTATTTCCAACACGGGAAAGCTGAAATTCATTTAGCAGCTTAAATTCATTGGGCCACAGCATAGTACTACTAAATAAATTTATGGTTTAAAAGTTTTCTAAATGTCTAGTAAAAGAAATTTTGTTTCTCTGTTCTAATCCTAATCTCCAAGTCCCCTAAGCATTCCTTTTGTTGTAGTCAACTTCATTTGTCTGTTATTGACTCGCCAGATAACTCTAGGGTAAGTAATTTCCAAATGTTGATTTTTCTCACCAGTAAAATAAGAGGAGTATCCAGTCCATTGGCTACCCTAAGGGTGAGAATAAAACTGTAAACTGCTCAATTTATAAAACTGTTTTCCACCTTACTTGTCCACAACTTAAACCACAACAAAAGAAATTTGCCAAGTGAGGCAAGAAATGAGTAAAATGAAAGTTGGAGAGAGAAAGACAATTTGCAGGAGTCAAGTACGCGTGTCCCAGAAGGGTGGGGGGGGAATTAAAGCTGTACTGTAGTGAAGGTACCTGAGTTTCCAGGAGTGTGGGTTGAAAAGACAACTAGATACAATATATCTTGGAGTAAAAAGGAAAACTGGAAAATAGAAGGGAGCTTACAAAGCTACCTATGGCTTAATGAACTCTCCTTCCATCAGTCTAAAATTACAGTTGTTTTTGAAACTGATATCCAGATCCCACTGGCTGCATTTTAAATTTTCCAGAGCTTTTATCATTACTGTCTGGAAGAGCAGGAAGGGACGTAAAAAAAGATGCTATCATACAGGAAGCCAAAATGAATCAATTTTGTGATGGCATCTGCTACTTTCTTTTAATGTCACAAGAGTAACAATAGTAACTTCATACTCAATAGACAACTTCATACTGATGACAAGCATCTTTACAAAATTAACTGTTACCCACTATAATTAGCTCTCTTGTAAGGTTAAATAATATAAAATTAAAAATTACTGGGTGATTAAACTACAGTTATACCAATTTTGAACTTCTGAATGAACTGCATGTACACTTGGCAAAGAAAAACAGGATGAGAACAGAAGCAATGAGTCAAATGGGCTATTAGAAATCAAGTTTCTTTTGGTGGTGGGGGGTTGGAATAGAGGACTAAATTTGCTGGACACATCAACATGGTTTATTATCAGGATATGATAAGTATAAATCTGAAATTTCAACTGGAAATTGCTGTTATATTACAAATATGTATATTCACTGCACAGTACACACCCTCAGGCAAAGTTAATAGCAGGAAATTTCACAAGTAATTCTCTGCTCCTTACCGTATTATATACAATAGAGGTGTTGAAACAAGTTTTGGTTGCCAGACTAACCCTTTCGCTTTTCAGACATATTTGAACTTTCTCCTCTTAGTTGTTTTGTATTAAATTACATTTTTTTGGTCCTTTGAACTAAGATTCTCTCAAGAATTACAGGAAGAAACTGAGTGATTCAGAATTCACCAATTATGAACTAACCTTCAATGCCAGAGGCTTTAGCAGTTTATAATAAAAATTTAGATCTCAAGATCAGTTAACTCTAAAAGAAACTTCAAGGTCATTTGAACAAACCTGTTCTACCAGTACTTTTATATAAATAGTATTTACCTGCTCCTAAAGCTTTCTATGAAAGAATGTTGAATTTTCTTGAGGAATAGTTTGGGTTTGAGCAAAATGTCAAAATAATTCTCTCATGCAGAGTATACTTTTGACTACATTCTAAAAATATTTCTTCTTGGTTTCTCCCACTTACCTGTAATGTTAGTGTATCCATGCTCTTGTATTATGGAATACTTAATGATAACTCATACACATGTAAATCAAATGTGGTTTAATTCTTGTTACTAAATGCTTTGCAAGGTAATACAAGAACATATTCTAACATTTTACAGACATGATGAAACCTTAATCATGTTGGCCTTCTGCTTTAAAGTCTGTTCTGAACCTCATACACTTTGGAAAACAGTCTGCCAGCTTCTCAAATGATTAAACAAAGAGTTACCATGTCATTCAGCAATTCCACCCCTAGGTACATACCCAAGAGAAATGAAAACATATGTCCACATAGAAACTTATGCACCAATATTTACAGAGACATTATTCATAATAGCCAAAAGGTAGAAACTACTCAAATGTCCATCATCTGACAAATGGATAAAAACGTGATTATCTGTACAATGGAATATTATTTGGTCATAAAAAGGAATGAAGTACTGATACATGCTACATGGATGAATCCTGAAAACATACGAAGTGAAAAAAGCCAGTCACAAAAGACCACATATTATATAATTCCATTTATAAGAAATGTCCAGACTAGGCAAATCCATAGAGACAAAAAGTTGATTAGTTGTTGCCTAAGGCTGGGGGTGGGGGGTTAGGGGGATAATGGGGTCATAGCTAAAGGGTATGGGTTTTCTTTCTGAGGTGATGAAAATGTTCTATGATGAAAATGTGGTAATGGTTGTACATAACTGTGAATATACTAAGAACTATCAAATGACACACTTTAAATGGGTGAATTTTATGTATGTGAGTTATAATTCAACAAAGCTGTTATTAAAAAAAGATCTGTTCTAAGATGTGAGGTACCGAGAATCAGCAAACCTCTTCCACAAAGCTTTTCTGGTCAATAGTAAAAGAATTAGCTAAACTCAAGTCCAATTTACTTTATTGTAATTGGAATCAGCTTGCACTATTTTGTTATGTACATTTCTAAAATGTGAGTGCAGTTTAAGAAAATATATCATTACATCAGATATTCCAGGCAGACTGCCATGAGACATTTTCTACCAAAAAACCATCTTAAAAGGAATCCATTTAACCAATCTCAGTATATGTTCCTTCTCGTTGCCTCATCTCCTTATAAGACGTCGTTTCCCTAAAACTCTCACGTTAAACAGTACTGGGCATGATGAATTCACTCCTTCATTCAACAAATATCTGAACATTTACTGCACACTAGGCACTGTTTTAGGCACTTGTATACATGTGTGTGCATATGTACACACACACGCACACACATACGACCAAGTCCCTGCTCTTGTGGAGCTTACAATCTAATAGGACAAGATAAACAATAAACAAATACTGGTTTTAAAGACAGGATTTTAAAACAGGGTGCTGTGCTATGGAAGGGTGTTATTTTAGATGGGAGTGTCTTGGAAAGGAGGCTTCTCCAAGGAAGTAATGTTTGAGGTGAGAAAAGAAGGTGCGAGCCACACAAAGATCAGGGAAGGTCACTCCAGGCAGAGGAAATTATTCTTAAATGGCAGAGTCAAGAGGAGGAAAAAAAAAATGGATTAATTGTGTGTTGCTGGTGACCAACCTTCCTCAGTGATTCTCACGCACCATCCTAGTACAAGGATGTCTGGCAAGGTGATGCGCAGGTTCACCTTGCGAATAAGGTGGCTGGAATAAGACGTCTTAAGTACCTTAAACTGTTAAAAGGTCTCACAACTCTTCAACAAGAGGAGGCCATCTCTGGTTAACTCTAGCCTAAAGTGTTCGTTCCCCCTTCTTCTTCTACCTCTCAGCAACTGTTTATTGTCTATACCACTCCTTCTTTCAAACACATCGGTGCAAGGCACTGTGCTAGGAGCGCTGAGACTTAAAGACAAATCAGACACACACTCCGAAGACCTTAAGCGGGAAATAACCTAGTAGCACAAAAAATGTAGGCATAAACAACAAACACAAGGCAGAAAAGCGGGTCACAAAAAAAAGAGCTATAAAATGTAAGAGTAGCTAGAGATTACTCCTAGCTGGAGCATCAGGGGAAGCTTCATGGGGCGGGGGCACGAGAGCAGGGAGAGTCTGTGATGCCTGAGGACTTGGATATGTGAGGGAATAAACAGATTGATTTGTTGTAATCTTAATTAACTTTAAATATATTTTAAAATATTTTTAGCTCCCCAACCAAGTTACAAGCTTAGGGAGAGATGGTCTGATAATCCCTATATCTCTCTGTGATATTCAGCACAGTATTTTGTGGAGCTAGGCAATTCATTGTTGATTCACTGTAAGAGATGTCAATTTCGGCACTGAAGGCAAGCCTGAATTAGTCTTCACTTCATAACGAAGTTTAGGCCTTTGAAACAGATGATCCCCCCCAAACCTCTTAATACCTCATTTCATTTCATAGAGACATTCCTAAGAGTTTTTCCAAAACTAAAAGGTATTACAGATAAACACACATATAATGTACTTCTGAATACACACATATGTAAAATGTTTGCAAATGTATTTGTATGTCTGCATATGTGCATCACTATACCTTAATCTCAGAACCTCACAAGATTATTTTAAATAAACTCCCACTGCTAAACCAAAGTTTGTACTTGTGAGAAAATATTTTTTTCACTGATCAGATTTTCCCATCCAGGCCTTCAAAATCCCTTCCCAGTCCCAAAAAAACATCTTAAACCAAAGAAAAAAAGCCAAATGACATTTTTTTAAGGCAGTGTCTCAACATCTCTAAAAAATATTCCATGGCCAAACTCACCATAGAGAGCTGTCCAAGTTTGATTAATTACATCTAGACACACAGTTCCTGACCTGAAACAGATGGAAAGAATGGCATTTTTTTAAAAATTAGGAAGTTAGTTGCATGTATCTGGCAACTAATTTTATTTATTAAGAAAAATACTTTTAATAGATCATTAAAAAAAAAAAAAGAATCCCAGTTGGGGAACATATGATGAGGAGCAGAATATATACAAAGTTTTAAGTGTCTCCTTACAGGCTATTAGGGAAAAACAGTCACCACACAATGGAGAAATCAGACAACACCTTAACCAGGTGATGAGAATTAACGCTGGTAACCAGGGGCAGGGAGACCTGTGTGACTCCAAATAGGATACCCTGAGAAGGACACAATATCACTTTGTGGTTTTCTGGCCTTAAGTGCATACTCTGAATCTAATGATAAGGAAACATCAAACAAACCCAAATTGAGGGACAGTCTATAAAATAACTGGTTTATATTCTTTAAAAATGTCAATTTTATAAAAAGTTGAGGAACTGTTCCAGATTAAAGTAGTTTAAAGAAACAAGACAACTAAACGTAATGCATTTGATTCTGTACTGGATTCTTTACTGAACAAAAAAAAAGTGCTAAAAAGCACATTATCGGAATATGGTAGTAGATTAAAAATTATTGCGTTAAGGGGGCCGGCCCCGTGGTGTAGTGGTTAAGTGCACATGCTCCACTGCTGGCGGCCCTGGTTTGGATTCCGGGCGCGCACCGACACACCGCTTGTCAGGCCATGCTGTGGCGGTGCCCCACATAAAATGGAGGAAGATCGGCAGGCATGTTAGCTCAGGGCCAGTCTTCCTCAGCAAAAAGAGGACAACTGGCATGGATGTTAGCTCAGGGCTGATCTTCCTCACACACACACACACACACACACAGAAAAATTAATGTTTATAAAAAAAAAAAAAAGTATTGCGTTAATATTCAATTCCTGAATCTGACGACTATACTGTGGTTACATAAGAGAATATCCTTGTTTTCAGGATGACTGATACACAAAAGTATTAAAGGACACTGGGGCATGATGTATGGATACAACCTACTCACACAGGGTTCAGAATACCTCATATGTACGCGTGTGTGTGTATATGCATATCATATCAAAATTTAGTGCCATGACAAGGAAAAACTGCAGAACAAATAATTATGCATTCTAAACAGCACTGGAAGTACAAAATAAGAGGCACTAGTATCACATTTTAAAATATCACTAACAAATATTAGAAGGAAAGAAGAGATAATTAAGATTCATTAACTGAAATGAAACTACAGTCATTCCTGTCTGCTTTACTCTCAAGAACTGAGAAATACTTTAAGGACTGAAAATAGTAAATCTGTATACTGAAAACAGATTTCTGAATTGTGTCTATACAAAGAGAATGGACACGTGAAATATTACAAATCCTAGCTAGATATCAAGAGAAATGAAGGACCCATTCATGACAATAGAAAAAACTAAGCAGTCCAATAGCAGAATTTGAACTAAATAGTTTAGAATACCTTAGGGCCAGCCCCATGGCTTAGCGGTTAAGTGCGCACGCTCCGCTACTGGCAGCCCCAGTTCGGATCCCGGGCGCGCACCGACGCACCACTTCTCCGGCCATGCTGAGGCCGCGTCCCACATACAGCAACTAGAAGGATGTGGAACTATGACATACAACTATCTACTGGGGCTTTGGGGGAAAAATAAATAAATAAAGTTTAGAATACCTTATCCTTGGGATTCTATTGTTTAAGTGACCATTCATACAGTCCTATCTGCTGATAAAATCCAAAAAGATAATTGAGGCTTTTTTTATAATGGAGAGAGAGATGAACTCTAATCAAGAGCAGTTGCTGCTAAGATTTAAACGTTTTTAAATAGTTACTTACGCTTCATCAATGTTGGGATGGAAAATTTTATTCATGAATCCTGTAAAAAGAGATGTTAATTAGCAGCAAAAAGTATCCAGAGAACAATTAGTTTTAAACTTCAGTATTGGAAACAATTTCAGTACTGGAAAAAGGTGATGATACCCACAACTCATTATTTTCAATCTTAGATCTTTGGTTACTGAGAAGACTATATTCTCCTGACAGTGTCAATTACTTAAAATACATCAGAATTCTATTATTCAAATGAGCTAACTTTGAGAGCAATGCAGCTTATACACAATAATCATTAAAAGAAATTGTTTTCTGAGCTATGAAATTACTCGCCAAGAAAATTTATAGTACTAAATGGTTTATACCTAGTGCCATGATAAAAGCTAAGAAAACTACTCTGACTCCCCCCTCAAAAGTTTTATTTTTCAGTCTCTAAATTTTCGAAGTTCTGCATTTGAACTTCTCCTTCTGAAGCTCAGTTACTGGTATCACTCTGCTACACTGTGTGCGGAACATGAATGAAGCTGTTGAAACGCTCAAGAAGCACCGCTTCCAAACCACACAGGATTTCGTAAGAACAGTGACCAAAATATTTCCTTTAACTTTAGTCTACTCATTCCAGGAAACCCACTTTTGATTAAAATTGGGGCAACTAAGAAATGAGGCAAGGAGTTAAAAAAAAATTCTGTAAGATGGCTATATCTGTCAGGGATTCAAGTTTCTTGATTTATTCCTAGAAAAATGAGTATGGACTTTAACAAATATATTGATATTTAAATTCCAAGGAGAAATTAATTTTCTAACTTAAAACCAGTGATTCAATCAATGTGTATACATGCAAATGACAATACTCTAAAGTGAGATCCACTGTCAAAGCTGTCATTTTATCATCCTTATTATCTCATTTCCATTTAAGATTTCCTTATTAGATTTCATACTTTCCATAAATTGAAGTTCCTTCCTAAAGTGACCATCACTAGTTACCCATCCCACATTCCCTCACTCCCCACCTCACATATTCTCTCTCCTTCATTCATTCAAAATATATTTGGTCAACATCTCCGTGTCAGGCACTGTGCTTGTTTAGGGTACAAAAATAAATAAGATGCTATTCTCAAGGAAGGAACTGAAGCAGGAGGACAAGAGATACCAAGAAATAACTGCACTGTGCACAAAGAGTTGACACGATCGGGGGAGTACACATGGGAAGAGGAAGATGTCAGGAAACATACAGAGAAGTGGCATTGAAGGAGGATCCTCAAGAATGAGTTGAAACAAAAGTCTTTTTCAAAAATCTAAGAAACTTCTCTAGACTTAGAAAATGGGGATAAGAATACAAAATCCTAAGTATTCCAGTCCTCGCTTGCTCTAGCCACTCTAAGTACTAATCATGCTTTTAATTTTTGTTTTTTTAATCCTTTGTGTTAAAATAGCTTAATGTTTTACTTACTACTATCAAGAGAGCCCATGCAATGTTTAAATGCAAAAAGAAAAGCCTTGTGTCCAATTACTGTTTCATATTAATTTTCATTAAGGAAATTAAAGACGTTTCAAAGTTTAGATTTAAGAGGTATGTGTTTATGAAGAGATTATACTAAACCAATGGCAATGTTCGTGTCTTAATGTTAAGAGAAAAAGCATAACAAGTCTCTGTAACCCTAGAAAAACACTAATACACGTGTCCAAGAAGACCTATGAGGATATCCATTGCAGCGTGTTTATAAAAGCCAAGAACCAAATTCAACCCTATCAAGAAGAGACTAGAGAACCTATAGCACATCCATATTGGGAGTCCTATACAGCCAAGGTAATGAACTAAGTCAGTATGTATCACTTTGGACACAGCCAAATTTGAGGGGAAAAAAAAGTTGCAGAATGATACATTTACAGCATGACACCATTTAGATAAACTAAAACAAAGCAGTACCACGTATCCTCTGTGGTAATAAGCATACAAAACTGTACTGGACCAACATATAGCAAACTTACAAGAGTATTATCTCAGTGAGGGTGAAGGGCCAAGGTCATGGTGGAAATAGGGAACAGAACAGAGAATCGTGATTAAAGATGAATTACCTGTAAAACTATATACCTTTTAAAAAGAGAGAGTGCTCGCTTCAGCAACACATATACCAAAAACAGATAATGTACTTGTATTTTATTTGCTCCATTTTTTTTAAGTGTGCACATAAGATTGAAAAAAAAAAAAACACTGGATGCAAATATGTACAAATGTCAACAGTGCTTAATTCTTAGTGGTGGGAATATTTTCTCCATTATACTTTTCAAATCACATCACCCCACCCCACCCACCACCCCTGTACCAGAAGCAAGATCACAGCAATGCAAAAGGGCTAGAAGGAAACAAACAAGTGTCAGTGGTAGCCAACCTTGCGAGACTCCCCCATTATTTCCACCACTACTCTTCTGACTTTCCAAAATTTCTCAAATGTATAGTTTTAATAGTTGAAAAAAAACTTTCAAATAGGGCCGGCCCCGTGGCTTAGCGGTTAAGTGCGCGCGCTCCGCTGCTGGCGGCCCGGGTTCAGATCCCAGGCGCGCACCGACGCACCGCTTTTCAGGCCATGCTGAGGCCGCGTCCCACATATAGCAACTAGAAGGATGTGCAGCTGTGACATACAACTATCTACTGGGGCTTTGGGGGAAAAATAAATAAATAAAATCTTTAAAAAAAAAAAAAAAGAAAAGAAAAAAACTTTCAAATAAAAAAATTATAACAGTAGCAAACATTCTATTGTGGACCTAATTATACATAGGTTGTCTAGTGCTGAACCCTTCTAAGGAAAAGAGTCACTAAAATCAACTATTTTATTTGAGATCTAATATTTTAAACACTCTTGTTTAAATAATACAAACTCATTACAAAAAAATCAGAAGATCCCCAGGTTATAAGGCACAGAGTCCTCAAAATCAGTTACATAAAGAAATATACTGCTATCACAACTGCCAAGAAACAAGTGGGAAACATTAATGTTTAGCCACTATACGGTTTAATTCAAGAGAAGCTACAATTTGCTTGAAGCTACAATTAGGAACTTAAACTTCATTCCTGATACTTAAAATCCTGTCTCTGCTAGAATTGTCTCAAGTAACACCCAGTGAAGCAATATCTGTGGTAAAAGTTCCCAATGCCAGCTAAAGGTAAGAATCACCTGGAGAGCTCTTTAGAAAACAGAAGTGCTATGCTAGAAGGTGGCAAGTGTCATGGAGAAAAACAGCAAAGAACGGGACTCGGAACAGGGATGCCAGGGTGGGGTTTGTACTTTTAATTAGAACGGTCAGGGAGGGCCTGAGAAGGTGACTCAATTTGAAGGAGGTGAGAGAGGAGTCATTCAGTGTTTAGGGAAAGAGGGTCTCCACAGCAGGAACAGCCAAGTGGAAAGTGCATCAGGCATTTGCTTGATGTGTCTGAAGACCAGCAAAGGGACTAGTGAAACTGACGTGGAGTGAATAAGGAGCAGAGGACTAGAAGTGAGGTCAAAGGTGACGAGCATTTGCGGGCCCTATTAAGGATACTGAGTGAGGTAGGAAGCCACCTAGACTAGTGCTAGAGCAGAGAGATATATACACAAATCCTTCTTTAAGTTTGTTTTTAACAAAAGGCTTATCTCCTAAAAAAGGCTAATTAGGACACAGCTCAGTCAGCTCAATGGCAGATCTCAAGCAAAATGGAATGAGCTGTCTCTCCTACAGTAAGAATGAAGCTTCAATAATTTGATGTCACAGGGAAACTCACAGGTGTAAGTTAAGAAAACAGCTACAGTGAAAAGAGCTTTAAATGTTTATCAAAGCTGAGAACTGTTTGGTGGGTACCAGGGGCAAGGGAGTCGGGGGGGCTGGCACAAGGGGTGAACGGAGGCATTTATATGGTGACGGACAAATAATAATGTACAACTAAAATTTCACAATGTTATAAACTATTAAGACATCAGTAAAAAAAAAAAAAACAAACCTAAAAAAAAAAAAAAACCTGCCTCTGAAGGATTAAGGTGCCTCCCTCCTTGTATGAGGACTGGAGATTACATTTGGAATCAAAATAGTTTCCACACTGTTTTCAATTAAATCTAGATTTTGGCTTGGTTAGGTCCAAGAGTACATAATAGAGAGGGCCAAAAAGGACTTAGTAAACATATTCGTTAGTGATAAACGGGTTGGAGCCCAGTCTCCAGTGCCTCTGCTAAGTACAAAACACCACTGAGTTCTGAGATAGAAGGCAGAATCAGACTGGAAAGAGAAAAGTACTAACAGGGACTTGGGTTCTAGTCCCAACTCTGCTATTAACTGCAGGCTTTGGGCAGGTCACTTTACTTCTGGGGGCCTGTTTCTGATCTCCAAAATCTCCACTCTTATTCTGTTTCTAAAGGGACTATCAGCTCTAAAAATCTAGGAGTTAGTAACACGGCCAGAGCTCTGAGAACAGAAGACTTAAGGGAATGTGTTCAATGGTTAAGTCCATAAAGGAAATTCATTCCGTAAGCCACCTTTTTAGGCACAGAAATAGTCTGGATAATATAATACAAAGCTACCAACATGCTAAAATACCACAAGGAGACACACAAACCACTGACTCTTCCAAAGCAGGCAAAACAGAGTTTATAACCTTGCCTTTGAGGAACAAGCACAGCCAGACCAATTCTACCAACAATTTCCAGACTACAATGATCTCTTCCCACACCAGGCTTTTTCAATTGTTAGAAAAATATCCAAAGCAAATAAACGGAAAGAAGCATATATATCTCCTTTACATTTGTTCTTGGACAAGCTGAGGACAGCACTTCTGGCAAAGCCATTTACATTCTGAATAATGATGGCAACAATGCAACTTCTGGACGAGAAGGGGAGGAGACTGAGAAAGAAGAGGCCAGGAATTCAGAGAAGGAACGTTCTCAGGACTGAGCGTGTTTGCCCTGGCATGTTTTCCTTCCTTTTGGCAACGCTATCACCACAATAATGAATATGTCTGCAACAAGAGAATTTTCCCAACACTTGTTTCCATTCGACCAGGAACTATTTTGAAGATATTTT